CGACAAGATGTGGGCGTTTCCTCCTGGGGCAGAACTGGGCAGGGGCACAGCCCTGATACATAAGGGAGAAGGGGGGAAGGGATGTGAGAGAAAGAGGGAAGGGGAGGCGCAGGGTAGATAGAACAGGAGCAAAGGTGGCAGCTCCTCCATACCCATCCGCCCTTTACTGTACCCAGGTATCCCAAATATTTAGGGGGTGGGGATGGGGGAAGGGTGCAGACAACAGTTGAAGTTTCATCACGAAGAACAGCCCTGATACATAAGGGAGAAGGGGGGAAGGGATGTGAGAGAAAGAGGGAAGGGGAGGCGCAGGGTAGATAGAACAGGAGCAAAGGTGGCAGCTCCTCCATACCCATCCGCCCTTTACTGTACCCAGGTATCCCAAATATTTAGGGGGTGGGGATGGGGGAAGGGTGCAGACAACAGTTGAAGTTTCATCACGAAGAAATGTTTTGCCACTTCCCGACAGAGAAAACAGAAACCTGCCCCGAATAACCGGAACGTAGATCAAGACACTGAGGCCTGGCAGTGCAGCTGGCTCTTTGTTAAAAACTCACTTAACATGAAAGTGCTGCTGCAGGTAACTGGCAACTCTTGCCCCTTATTCCAGCGCTACAGCGTTACAGACATTGGGCTGCTATAGATATGATTATAGATATTGTTTTAGGTATATTTTATAATTTTCATGTGTTATTTTAATATAATACAATAATTTGACGTGTAAAATTGTTATTTGCCCATATAAAATAATGTTTAATTTAAATATAAATTTAAGGTACTTTTGAATTTTTATATGATACATAGCTTGTTTTGTTGAAATAAAAACAAATATAGACCGTGGTTAATCAAATAGAACAGGCCTCTGTGAAAATTTCAGATACTTTGTTAGTTTGAGATTTTGCATGAACATATAATATTCATGCAATTGCAAAAAATGACATATTTATTTCTATAAAATTAATATACATTTTGTGATTTTATTTGGGAATAAATAAATAAATAAATAACAAAACTTCCCCTCCTCTCCCCCAGAACCAGGCACTCCCATACCCCTGTTCTAACCCAATCCCGCTCCTGTCCCACAGAATCCCCTCCCCCCGCTCTAACCCAATGCTTCATCCCCCCCTCTCCCCAGAGCCAGGCACAACACCCTCCAACCCAATGCCCCCCCTCCCAGAGCCAGGAGCCCCCAACCCAATCCCTCTCCCCTCCCCCCCTCCCCCATAACCAGGCACCCCCAACCTAATGCCTCTCCCCTCCCCAGATCCACCCCCAGCCTAATGCCTCCTTTCTCCCCCAGAGCCAGGCACTCCCAACCCAATGCCTCTCCCCTCTCCCAGAGCCAGGCACTCCCAGCCCCCCCCAATCTAATGCCTGGGTCCGGAGCCATTGCCGCTGCCGCACATTTCTCCCTCAGGCACTGGGGCAGCATGAGCACAGCGGCCAGCTATAAACAGGCACTTGATTCCTGAGCAGAGTGGCCTGCTGGCTGTGAGCACGTGCTGGAGCGCCCAGCGCAGAGCGGCCCAGCCGGCCGTGAGCATGTGCTGGGTGCCGTGCGCTAAGCGGCCCAGCCGGCCATGAGCAGTCACTGCGGTGCCGTGCGCAAAGTGGCCAGTCAGTTGGCTGTGATCCGCACTCGGCCACGTGCTCCAAGTGGCCAGCGGGTGGCACTTTACTCATTTATAAAAATGTAGTGGAGGCCCACACAAAACTTCAGTTGAGCTGCATGCTGCCTTCCAGAGGCCTGTTTGACATGCCTGCTCTAAAGTGTGCACCTGTGCAAGTGTACACCAAAAATGTACCGCCCGCCCACCTCAGAAGAGCAGCCGGCCGTGAGCATGTGCTGGGTGCCGTGCGCTAAGCGGCCCAGCCGGCCATGAGCAGTCACTGCGGTGCCGTGCGCAAAGTGGCCAGTCAGTTGGCTGTGATCCGCACTCGGCCACGTGCTCCAAGTGGCCAGCGGGTGGCACTTTACTCATTTATAAAAATGTAGTGGAGGCCCACACAAAACTTCAGTTGAGCTGCATGCTGCCTTCCAGAGGCCTGTTTGACATGCCTGCTCTAAAGTGTGCACCTGTGCAAGTGTACACCAAAAATGTACCGCCCGCCCACCTCAGAAGAGCCATGCAGTCTGCTCTCGAGTGGCGCAGCAGGACAGCCACCACGTGGCCCTGGCAGGGCTGCAGCTGTAGGCCATGTCATGGGCCCCAGTCAGTGCCAAACCTGGAGCCATGTGTACAGCTGTGTGGCAGGCAGCAGCTGCTCCAGAGGCCCTGGCTGTAGTGGGAGTTGATCCTTCCAGGCTGGAGCGTCTCTGCCTATGGCTTGCTAGGCCTCATAGACCTAGAGCAACCTCCCGGTTGATTAAGCATCACCCTTACTGGATGATGTTAAACCATTCACATCCCTATTTTGAATAGGAGTTTAATACTTGGGCTTTATTGTTTTATATTGATTGTGTGTGTGTATGTGTGCACACGCGCATGCTAGGTTGGTTTTTGTTTATTGCCACTCAGCTGGTGGCCTTTTTTAGCTTTCAGAAGATTGTAAGTAAGAAGGTTGGGGGCGGGGGGTTGTATTTTATAGGAATACCCATAAATATTATTTTAAAATTATTATTATTTTAAAGCTTTATTTTAATGATATTTTTATTGTTCTAGGAATGAAAGCCAGTGACAAAGGGATTTAGGGTGTTTATTTTGGGTTTCATTTTATTTTCACTTATTTTATGTTTAATATTAAACATAAAACCACTTAAGAAAAAAAAGTGTAACTTTGTGAAAGCATCAGGATACTTGAAGAGTTAACTTTTAAACTTAACGCTGTCAGTATATGCTTGCTGCCAGATAAAGAGTAGCTGTCAGTTTTGCAACCTTGAATAAAATATCTGCATGGATTTTTAGTGGAATTTTTAAAAAGCTTATCTATATCTATAATATATATAATTATATAAGCATCTATTTTATATATTTTTAAAGTGGTTTTTTTTTAAATATAAGTTCCCTAGCTACGTTTATTATGAGTGACTAAATATTTCATACTTTCTTGGCAACAGTTGTGAGGTGTCCGGTTTTGAACTGGACAGTCTGGTATTTGAGCTTTCTGTCCAGGAAAAAACCTGAGAAAATACTAGAAATATAAATGTCCAGTGTTTTCTAATTAAGTAAGTTTTATTATTATCATGAGTATCAGTACGTAGTTGCGTACTGCCTGGCTGGTAGACACGCTTACGCTGTGTGAGCATGTCTACCAGCCAGGTAGTACGCAACTACGTACTGATACTCGTAATAATAATAAAACTTACCTAATTAGAAAATTTGGTATTTTCTCAATTTGTTTCCCAGACAGAACCCTCAAATACCGGACCGTCCGGTTCAGAACTGGACACCTGGCAACCCTAGACGGCCAGTTTCCTCTTCTGGCCAGCCCTGCTTCCTGCTGGCCTCTTCCTTCCCCCGATCTCCCCTGGCCAGCCCCGCTCCCCTCCCGGCCCGTCCTCACCCCCATCTGAGATCAAGTGTGTCTGGTATTTTTTTTTAAATCATCTGGTAACCCTATTCTTGGCTAGCTTTTTACTAATTAAAGTTTTGAACTTTTTTGTTTTTAGACTTTTACAGAGCTTTGGGGGGGATATGTGTAAATTGCAAATTAAGAACAAATGTAAGGAAAGTTGCTTACATTTCTAAACTGCTATTAATTTTCATATTTAAGCTTTGACTAAGGTTTGTATGCTTGTTTTTTCCAGCTGAGATCTCTTTTGGCCTGGGCTTCGATAACTTCTGTATTTTAGCAATGTTTAGTTCTGTCTTTTCCTTCCATGTTTCAGCCATCTGATCTTAACTAAATTTTTTACAGTTAAAACATAGAACCATAGAGCTGGAAGAGACCTCAGAAGGTCATCAAGTCCAGCCCCCTGCTCTAGGCAGGATCAATCCCAACAAAATCAACCCAGCCAGGGCTTTGTCAAAGACTGTAAATGGGATTGTTCTTGTACCTACTGCAACTATCACAATTCATTATTTACTGGCTCATTTGTTAGAAACCCCCATTACCATCAGAATGACTGTATGGCCTCGTATGTTGTGTGCAGGGGTGGTCAATAAGCAGATTGCAGGACAAAGACAGGACAGGACATTGGCAATTAGGGTCAGCCATTGTTATAAAGATGCATGGGTAAAACACCTGTAACAGCTCCTTTTATTCTTTGTGATTGGAAAAGGGCTGTTAGTATTCTATTCTTCCTTTCGTAACGTGTGTGTGTGTGTGTGTGTGTGTGTGTGTGTGTGTTGGTTAGTAACGGATAGGTGCAATGGTGTCACACATCCAAACAAGCACACATAGCCACAAGACAAAATTCAGTCCATTCATGGATGGAAAACCTTAGAAGGAACACTGGGCCAGTTACCCCCCTTTGCTCCAGCTGGAGCCAGGGCACTGTGAGGCTCACCCTGCTGGGGCACCCTTGGTGGGTGGAACGCTGCTGTCACCAGGCCAGGATGTGTGGTGGTGGGGAGCTCCCCCCCTTTGCTCCATGGGACCACTTTCAGATAATGTGCAGTCACAGGTGTCACACTGAGGCTTGGTGAGTAGAGGACAAAATGTATAATTATAAATACTTGATTTTAGGTGTATCTAGTATAAATGAAAAATAGATGGTTTATTCTACAACACTGTCTTGGGGTAGATCTTGGGTTGCAGGTAAACTCAAAAAGTGATCTTGGCATGAAACAGGTTGGTGAGCACTGCATTAGACTGTGAAATGAATGGAGTGAGTGATGCTGGTCCAGCTGATAGTGGAGCCTACAAACACCTGCCCCATTTAACACACACCTGATGAGTAGGGCTGCGTTTAATTAAGTGAATGTGTAATCACTGACAATTTCAACAGTTACACGCAGGGAAGCAGTTGGCTGCCCAAGACCAAGTGTATATCCCTTGGCAGGTGGAAGGTTTTTCAGTCCCAACATGCTGCTGTCACCAGGCCAGGATGTGTGGTGGTGGGGAGCTCCCCCCCTTTGCTCCATGGGACCACTTTCAGATAATGTGCAGTCACAGGTGTCACACTGAGGCTTGGTGAGTAGAGGACAAAATGTATAATTATAAATACTTGATTTTAGGTGTATCTAGTATAAATGAAAAATAGATGGTTTATTCTACAACACTGTCTTGGGGTAGATCTTGGGTTGCAGGTAAACTCAAAAAGTGATCTTGGCATGAAACAGGTTGGTGAGCACTGCATTAGACTGTGAAATGAATGGAGTGAGTGATGCTGGTCCAGCTGATAGTGGAGCCTACAAACACCTGCCCCATTTAACACACACCTGATGAGTAGGGCTGCGTTTAATTAAGTGAATGTGTAATCACTGACAATTTCAACAGTTACACGCAGGGAAGCAGTTGGCTGCCCAAGAAAGCCAATATTAAGCTAGCTCCTGCACATACTGGGAGCCTGCATGTAACTGTGCACATAGTTATACTTTCCCATCCCTATTAATGAGATGCACGTTCATTATTTGCTACTGTCAGCCACACATGCATGCACGGCCTGCCCACAACTGGACTCAAGATAAAGCTCTCACTGTTCAGGAACAGGGACAATCCACCCTACCAAGTGCTACAGATGGCTGGGTACAAATGCCCTGAAGCTAACATAGCCCAGGGAGTTTTTAACGGCCTGCCCACAACTGGACTCAAGATAAAGCTCTCACTGTTCAGGAACAGGGACAATCCACCCTACTAAGTGCTACAGATAGCTGGGTACAAATGCCCTGAAGCTAACATAGTCCAGGGAGTTTTTAACACAGCTACATGCACTGGAAGGCCTCATTGTCTTCAGCTGTGCTCCAGTTATCCGGAGCAGGTTTCTGTTTTATCAGCATGGAAGTGGCAAAAACTTAAGGGTGAATGTTCTGACAAAGCAAGAGCTTCATGAACAATCAGATTGTGCCAAACATGGGAGGCTGGGTGGATTTGTAAAGTGCGCTGCCTCTGTCATTATCTACAGATGTTCCTGCCCAAAGCCCAACAACAGAGACATCACAAATGCAGCCAGATTCATCTTCTCCAACAATGATTGAATCCAGCTTCTCCTCTAGCGCAGACACCACCCCTACACGGTGAGTGCCACCGCTCCCGCCCCGTGTCTTTCTTGTCACTTCTCCCAGTGCCCAGGCAGGATCCAAAGAGGAGTGACACCCTGGGTGATAACATCCCAAGGGAAAAGGAACGTTGCTTTTCTCTGCAAGAACCTGGAGGTGAATATGAAGGGAAATGCCAATTCTAGATGCAGAGTAGCTCTGGCCGGGGGCTGTCTGGGTCCTGTCAGACCGGATTCTAGAACAGCGCAATTGAATCCCCTAGGTAGGTGGTGAGATTCCATACAAGGGCAGGGAGGGGAGCTGGGCTCGGTGTGTTGCCTCGTCTGTACAATGAAACTCTGGGCACGTCGTCAGCCTGAGAGCCACCCGGTATATTTTATTGGAGGCGTCCGGTGAAATCTACAGAGCTTCAGTGTTTTTATTGTATTTCCCCTGCACAGATTCACCATCCTTATCCTGCTCCTGGGCTTATCGAAGGGCCTCATTTTCCTGTGCATAGTTTGTGCTGCCACCTGGGGGAGCGTGCGGGACCGGAAGAGCCACAGGGAGATGGTGTCCAGACGGACACGGTGAGAACATGCTACACCCACACTGTGGGGTGACACTCCATTGGGTGCTTGTCGCAGGGTACGTCCCTTGTGTGGGGCACCCCCCCCTTTAAAGGTCTCGTTGCTCTTTCTCGGGTCCCTAGATCAGGGCATACACGGCATTAACAATCCTAGTATAAAGTCCATGCCCCCCTATCAGGGTAAATACAGCTTTGGAGGCCTAGCCGCCCAGAGAAGCCTCTCCTGGACCAGGGGTTGATTATCCAGGGTAGGGAAGATGGGTGGCTCCTGCCCGCTCGGCGAGGAATCCGGCTGGTACACGCCGAGCTGCACTTTTAGTCCTTTGCCCTGGGCTGCTTCCTACCACGCCCTGGTTCCCCTGTGGCTAGGGTTGCCAGATGGTTGAAACAAAAATACCACTCCCCCCCCCCCACCAAAAAAACCACAAAGAACAAATTCTGTTGAAGGAAAAAAAAAGAGGGAGGAGGGAGACCAAAGTGAGGGGGGAAAAAAAGACTCCAAGAACCTGGGGTTGGGGGGAGGCAAGGTGCGTCTCAGTTTAAATCTCTGTGGTAACCACAGGGATAGGATCACTGCTAGGGTTACCAGGTAGTCATTTAAAAAACAACAAAAAAACGGACATGCTTCATGGGGGGTAGGAGGGGGAATGAAGCTAAACTAATTCAGACTGCTAGTAAGGCATACATTTTAATGGTAATTTTAATCATTGGAACCATTTACCAAGGGTTGTGGTGGGGTCTCTATCAGTAGCAACTTTAAAAACAAGATGGGCTGTTTTTCTAAAAGAGGTGCTCTAGTCAAACAGACATTATTTTGGGGAGGTTCTGTGTTGTGAAGGAGGTCAGACTGAATGATCACAATGGTCCCTTTTGGCCTTCAAATCTAAGTAATTAGAAATCTAATAGGATTACATAGG